CCCCTTTCCTTTGGAAGGTGATATTAGTGACTGCACAGATCCCAGCCTTGTATAATGTCTTTTCTTCTATTTATCAACTGTTTGTTCATATCATTTCGCCATATTTGTATTTATGTGTATTTATTTACAATACCGTATCAACACGTACCACAGCGAAACACGTCGTTCGAATTCTCCTCAATTCTCATGTCTGTCGACCGTCTAAAACTTTAAATCACGGTTTGAATCATTGGAAAATTCATACAGTTCATCAATTTTGTGATTTTCAATATCTTCTTTTCTTTTTCGGTAATCGAGTACGGTTGAACCTGTATAAGCGGACACCTTCGGAAAATGAGCTGCTTCTCTATATGAAAACGTTCGTGCGAAATCTATTCAACGTAGATCATTTCTGCGGTAAGATATTAAGTGCTTGCGTCAGAAATTCAAAGAATTACTAGCTTGACACGGTGCAAGCGACTGTAAAACGGCCTTAGGCTAGGTGGCGCGATGTTGGAAACCCGGGAGGAGGGGGAACTCCTATATGAAAAGATCGGATCGTCGTCGTGGGTGCAATTTTAGGATTCTGATCTCACTTAGGGTGTTGATGACGAAACGTCACCATTCTTAGCTGTCAAAGCATCCTTTAGGGTGCACTGGAAGAAACAATGATAAAAGAAACGCTTTTATTTAGTTCTGTTTTTAGGCTTGATTTCCGCTGATCCCTAGAGTACGCGAGTCGGGTCTATAATTCAAGTGCGCGCGGGATCCTTCCTTGAACGGTGGCTAGTAATCGAACCGATTCCGTTTTAAGTGGTATCTTTTAGGGGCCTAATGAAAATCGAGCAGCACCCATTTTTCCGACGAGCACCCACCCCCTCTCCCCACCCCCCGGGTTCCAAAGGTCTGACAGGAATTGACCCAGTGAAGGAGTGAAATCGTTCCCCCACTACAACTTGGAAAACAATATTTTCCAAGTTAAAAAGCCACTCGACCACAACACTAGCAAGTAGAAGAAGAAGAAGAAGAAGAAGAAGAAGAAGTAATTAGAAACAGCGTTGAAAAGCTTTCACATCTTCCTGCCTTTTATTTAGTTACTAAAACAAATAGTTTTAAACAATTACAACACACCCAGTAATCACAGAAACCACTCGTTTGATATAATTCAGCAATTTATCACTGTCCCATTTTAAGTGATCATGCAAGAATGGAAGTTTTGTCTGGAATTAATCTAAGCCTGAGGTTTAGGAACTTCTTCAACAAAGATCCGGGACACTGACTGCCAGCCTGTCATGGCGTCAGCCTTAGCGCCATGAGCACAGTCACCAACCCAGAATCCCACGTGCACCTTCCCTTTGTGGATGTTGTTACAGTGCCCCTCAATATTTCGGACACGGTGCAGATCTTGGCCGTTGCCTTGCCACATATACACAATACCGTCAATTGGCAGGGGAGATGAGCACTCAGCACCGTTGAAAGTGAAATACCAGCGTTTGCAGCAAACTGTGCACTTGTAGATTCTGAGGGCACCAGTCCAGTAAACATGGAGAGCTGTATCCGAGAAGTTTTTGGTGAAAACACAGTCCTGTAAAAACAGCAGCAAGAAAGTAATTGAAATAAAAAAAGAAACGCAATTAACTTGAAGAAAGAAGTATTTTATTCCGAATAGGTTGGTAGATTTCACGGGACCAGTTTAATTTAACTTTCGCTGCCTTGAGGGTGTTTTAAGCTTAATTTACTAGTGACATGTTGCTAACCTATCTTACTGTGTCCTTACAAATATTGCAATTGTGGAATAGAAATTCACCTTGATCAGGCCGTTATCTTTGCCGTCATGCACGTTTTTCCATGCGCACTCTTTCCAGTTCCTATAAGACATCAGACCAGGAGTACCAGGAATTCCACTTGCTCCATTCTCTCCACACTGCCCCTTTTGGCCGGGAGGGCCTTGGATTCCAGGTTCTCCTTTGGCGCCATTCTTTCCATTGATACCAGGAGTTCCTGGAGTTCCCTGGGGTCCAGTCTTCCCCGGACTGCCTCGGTCACCTTTGGCTCCGTCACGGCCATCACGGCCATCACGACCTGGTGCCCCAGGAGACCCAGGCTTTCCGTGCATACCAGGGATACCACCATAACAGANCACTCGGCTATCGCCTCGTGCGACTCTTACGCTTCTTTCGTGCTTGGCAACCTCCCGCGTGCATCCATAATTCAATAGTGCACGCTATGGCGTTTACCATTTGTTAAATAGAGGTCACCGAACGTCCAAGATCGTTAAATCCAGGAAAAGCTATAGTAACGGCCATCTGCCCTATCATTGTTCATTTTATTACTTAGCGCGCGCATCCATGTATGACGTGGCGTGTGAATTTGCGTGCGCAATAAGGATGCGCAGAAACAATTGGCGCGAACGCCCTTTAGCAAACCACAACGGCAACGGCAACGAGAACAGTGGCTGTGCACGTGCTTTATAAATCTTTGTACATTTCTTTGCTGTCCGTTGCAAAGCAACAACGTGAAATGACTAAGAGAACGCGAACGGCGACGGTTAATTTTTCATATTTTCAGTTGAAATTGAAAGTTGGCGTTACATATTTGGCTTGAGCAAGTTCTGAGACCAGTGAGCACACTGAACAGATCTAGACAATTGTAAAATTCGAAGGTAAATTATAAATTCACCTTTTAGTAGGCGTTGTCCTCGAGGTCGCCGTCATCATTGCTTAAGCTCTCTAATGAGTATACTCATCAATGTTTCTGAAATTTCTGTATCTTTTAATTTTATACATCGCCACCTTTGATTCAAGATTTAGATAGCAACAATGTTGAAATAGCTCGACCCTTAACCCTTTACTCCCTAAGAGTGCCATTTGGCACACAACGTTATTTTCCGCTGATTTCTTTTTTGAAATGCACATGGAATGCAAGACTTGTTTCACATCAGGCTTTGTACTAAGACCTGCTAAATAAGCTATGGTTCTGGGGCATACCTATGATATTTGAGAATTGATACGCGTTGGAAGCTTTTCATTTTCGCATTTTAAAACAATTTCTCTCAAAATGACTACCTCTTTTATAACTGCTAATGTCAGTTCTTAAATAAGCTGATCAGTGGCTTTCAAATGGTATATTGTACGCAGGCAGAGAGTCTTTAGTTGCTGATTTATGTAGAAGTACCATTCGCCTTAGGGGGTACATGGTTAAGGTTGGCGTTCCCGGTAGTTGGCTCTGCGCATCCTTACGGCCCACGTAACTCATATACCGTTTTTACTCGTTTGAGCGCCACGGCGCCTTTATCTTTTTAGTGTTTCGTTTGCGGCGTTTATTTGAGGGGGTCGCTTTGAAATATTCCTGACATTTGTGGATGATGACAAGCAGATGTTAACAACAAAAATATCGCCACTTCGAATTGAAACACATTGCAATCCATCCAGGAAAAACGTTTTCGAGGCTGCTTAACATTAAGTTTTACAGTTCAGTCTGAACAATTCAGTCTGATGATGCTTCATTTAGGCACCGCATGGTTTTGAATGAATGCGGCGCTTATTCGACGGCTGCGCTCTTTAATATTTTTGCTCTCATATTCAACGCTTTATCGGGATTGCATCTAGAAATAACCGCTGGTGTAAGGTCGATATGAGGGTTTGATCTCCTATCATTGGTCTTCTCTTTGTTCTCTACTACGTTAATCACGCGTGCGGTCGAGTTTCTAATCAGTTATCAATTTGTTCCGTTTCGTTTGCTTACTCAGGATTTTTTTACTTATTATTAAGTTGCTTTTATATATCAAATCAGAATGTGATAAAAGAAAAAAGCAAGCAACGAAACCCATTCGTTTATTTTCTCTAGTTTAATCGAAAGTCAATTGAACTGCCTTAGCTTGTTCTCTATTTTTTTTTTTCCTTTTTCTCGAGCTGTTCTTGGCGTTGCATTGTGATCAAAACTTCATAAGGATGGTTACGCAAAAAAAGGGAGGAAAAGCAATTAAAGAGAGCAAAACGAACTGAACAAAAACATTTGTCCCGGCCATTCCTCATGCCATTTATTAAATAACCGCAACATCAGCGTAAATCATTTTAAATCACACCAGAATTTAGACGAACCGCTCGTTATAGAATTAAACAATTTATAACTATCTCATCTTAAGTGCCTATGTAGGAATGGATGTTTTGTCTCGAGATCTAAGCCTGAGGTTTAGGAACTTCTTCAATAAAGATCCGGGACACTGAATTCCAGCCAGTGTAGGCGTCAGCATTTCCATAACTAGCACAATTACCAACCCAGAATCCCACGCGCACCTTGCCTTTGTGGATATTGTGGCAGTGACCCTCAATATGGCGGACGCGGTGAAGGTTCTGATTCTTTCCGGTTCGCATGTACACAACACCGTCAATTGGCAGAGGAGCTGCACATTCAGCACCGTTGAAAGTGAAATACCAGCGTTTGCAGCAGCTGTCACAGCCGTAGATTCTAAGAACGCCAGTCCAGTAAACATGGAGGGAAGTATCAGAGAAGTTCTTGGTGAACAAACACTCCTGACAGAAATTGAAACAAAACTGAGATAGCAAACAACTCTGATGTTTCTGGGTAAAAGCTATGAATAACTTTGAATAACTCTGAATAATAACTCATTCATAATTTTATTAATGTTTACCTTTAAAATTTCGCTTTGCAAACGAAGCATTTACCTTGATCAGGCCGATATCCTTCCCGTCGTTCAATTTATTCCATGCACACTCTTTCCAATTCTTATAAAACAACCCATTAGGAGTCCCAGGGATTCCACTTGCTCCACTCTCTCCACGCTGCCCCTTTTGGCCGGGAGGGCCCTGAACTCCAGGTTTTCCTCTGGCACCATTCTTTCCAGGGGTTCCTGGTGGCCCTTGGGGTCCAGTCTCCCCAGGACTACCCCGGTCACCTTTGGCTCCGTCGCGGCCATCACGACCATCACGACCTGGGGCCCCAGGACACCCAGGTTTGCCGTGCATACCAGGGATACCGCCATAACAGAAAGGAGGAGGTTTCTAATTTGGGATAAAAAAAAATAATAATTCTGAGATATTGTTGAAAAGCTCTGTAACTTTGTTGAAACCATGACAACTTCAGATGGGGTCAGAAATCCATCGTATACTAGTTTTTTTTTTTTTTTTTGACTTTTTTATTCACTTGTGCCACCGATGATTTTTTTACTTTAAGGAGAAACGTATCATAACGTTATCATCTCTCGGTTGGGCATTACATAAAAACTGCACTTTTTTAAGTTTAGTTCTTAAACAAGACGACATAAAAACCTGTTTTTCCGAATTTCTTCATTTTCGCTATCACACAATCTGCACGCTAGTCTCTCTGTTGACCCTATAGTATAGTTCGTTAGAACTTTTATTTTGAGAAACTCGTCTTGGCATGTGACATAAACATACCTTTTGGTACCACTGTTGTTCTGCGGTTTTGTTTTCTTCCGCAGCACAATAAACTGCTAAGTTGGACATCACAAACAACGTGAAAGCCACCGAGACTTTTCTAATTTTAAAGGCCATTTCCTCTGCACGATGTTCTGCGTAGAAATATACAAGAGCGAGTGTAAAAGCATAAATCCTCCACGGGATACACAAGAGAATCGCAATTTCTCGAACCCTCGATTCTTTTAACCTCCCTATAACTGGAATAAAGTCGTTCTTACATTATAATTTTGCCCTCGATTTTTCGAACTATCTGATTTTTCAAAACAGGTTTCATTTTGCTTGGACTTTCGAAAAACCGGGATTCCACTTTATTTTAATAGAGAGGCGAGGCTTAAGAGTTTAATTCAGCAAAACGCCATCAATCTCTTAGTTTACCACTTATTTTTTTGTACCATTCATTAATAAATGAAGTGTTATATTCGTGATCTTGAGATTCTTTTTAAGTAGAAGCGGTGGTTATATTTTCGCTAAACGCTCGACATTAATTCTAGCCGAGATTGATGCGGTAAAAATACACCCCTTATGCAGTCTGCCGTTTATTGTTTTGAACGCGAAGGAAAAAGGGAAGGGGGCTTAAAAGATAGCCAGGGTCTTTGTATTCTGTCTTGTTTTGATATTAGAGAGAGTGGTTCATCAGAAAAGAGGGCCAGGAGTTTAATATAGGAGTTTTATAATTTACCAGCGTTGGCGCGGAGAGGGGAACGGCCCTCTAAAAGAATATAAGCGGCTTGTTAAGCTAACGTTTTGGAACCGTACTCAGACAAGTGGCACTTTATCCTCTCTTGCCTCAGGTATGTGAAGCACGATTGCTAAACTTGTTCGTATCGATATTGAATAAACCTTTGGTAATTTTACAAAACGAGCTAACCGTAACTGAGGATAGCCAGTAACTGATAGTAAACCCAATGAGCTTAAGTTACACTTGGTATAAGAGAATCGACTGAATAAAAAGAAAAGTTTTCTCTTGCCGTAATTCATTTTGCTACCTTTTTTAACTCCAGTTAACCAGAGAATTTTAACACAAAATGTGTTGTTGAAGAATCTTCATAACTCACCTTGCAAGTAACTCAGCGCTTGGGTAGAAAACACAAAAATGAGATCAAAATGGAAGCCCCTCAGGATAAGATTGTATCCGCAACTTCTCCAACACGTACCTATCAATTGTGAAAATGATGTGAACTACCTTTTGAACACTGATCAGTATAATACGATATCACTTTACTTAGTTTTGTCAATCTTTTAATATGTTTGCCAAGTTTTGTTTTCTGAGCGTAGTTTACAGAGATAACATTATGAGTGCAATACTGTTTGAACAAATATGACTGCAAACCTCACACCAGCGTGTAGAGTATAGAGTTGTTATATTTTCTCCTAATTTTGGAAGATAGACTTTTCTGTGTAAGATATGTCAACAATATTTCCAAAAAAGGCCAAAAAGAAATATATGGCACATATCCAACTGAGAAAAAAAATCTTTGCCTTCTTCTAAAAAGTTAGTCATAACTTCAAAGTACCAGAAATTTGTTTCTAACAACTTTAAAATCAGGCATTGCTCGTGTTTTTTTAATCCACTTTGTGATCTAGAACAACATTAATTAATAGGTTTTCCTTAAAGGAAACCAAAACTTGAGACGCCAAAATGAGAAAAAGAAATTAAAAGAAATTTGCCCCTATGAAATCTAGCTATTGTCATAATTACACACTGCATTAACTACCAAAAATTCGTTTTGACAACTTTGAGAACATGGAGCCTGTGTTTAATTGTTTTTAATTATGATGAGTCAGAAAATGTTACACCTGCTTTATTCTGCAATAAACCAATAACTTAATATGTTTTTTTTATATATTTTTCAATCAACTTTGGAAGAACTGAAGTGGGGTTCTGTTTTTCTTGAAAAAATTGAAAAATGAAAAACGGAATATGTGTACGTGTAATATAATGGATTGGGAAAAAAGAAAGAAATTTGTCTTTTAGTAAAAGTGAAGCATTGTAATAACTTATTCCAGAATGAAACCACCAAACATTCTTTTTTATCAGACTTTGAGGACACGGGGTGAGTGTTTGTGAACCTGAATTAAACATGGATAATTAACAATATTCCACGAGCGTTTGTTGGATATGAGATAGTCCAGTTGGCTGTAATCATCTCATATGCAACGAGTGCGAGTGAAATAACTGTTTTATTGAAAACACCTCCATTATGTATATATAAAACTAAAATAAAGTAAAAAAAAACTCCGTCGGTCCCCCCAAAAATTGCGCGTATTGTAGAGCATGACGTAATGCTTTTAACGATGAGCATGAAAACTGCTGTTATGTTGGTTTTTATAAACCTGAATCTACAACCTCTTTATTTGCAAACCAAAAAACGTTTGCTTATTCATCTATTATTTGATCCACTTTGGAATATCTAATGCAATATTGTCTTTTTCTTGTTTTCTGTGTTTACAGACGTTGATCTGCAATTTCTATTTTCAGTCTGCGATAATGGCAGTTTTTGCTGAATGTTTGCTCACCAGCTGAATGTTTGATTTAATTTTATCGTGAAACTTACTCTGCACGTAAAATCTTCTTTCTCGTTTTTCAAAATCATGATGATCGAACGTGTGGTAAGGGCGACCTTTGTGCACACTTTACAACCTTTGACGCGCGCTTAAGTCCTAAAGATCCTCTTTGACTACACCTTTGCGCGTGATAAAGACTGGTAAGCCTTTGAATTAACTCCACTCTGTGATTGACAGGGTTCATGTTATGGTCAATTGACACCTGCCAAAACGAGGTATCCGCTGACCAGTACCGCGTGACCATATCGCGGGCTGAAGGTTAGAGCTCATTGAGATCATCTGCTTTTTTTTAGGTTGGCCGCTGACCAAGAGCTGGTTTCTATATGATCGCGGGCTCATGTCAGCTTAACTTGTGGCAAACGGGGCCGGGTTGTTCAGAAGCCGGTTAACGCTAACCCAGGATTAAAAGTTAACAGAGTTATAAATAGTTCTTGTATACAAATGTTTTTCACCACTTTTGTTTTGTGTATTTTAAGATTGTTCAAACTCAATATAGAAGGCCAAACAATATACAGAAAACTTCACTGGAAAGTTGCAAAACTAAAATCAAAGTTCTCGCTTAACCTGGGTTATTTTAATCGATCTTTGAACAACCCGGCCCAGGAGCTCTACTTTTAGGCTTGACTAAATCTATATATTAGCGTCATGTGAGGACGAACAAAGTTTGCCTATTTTTCTTTCCTTGAGGCAAGCCGCTGACAAATGAGACTGAGCACACATTCACGCGGGGCACGCTGGGTAGAAGAAAAGATGAAGGATGTTGCTGAAGGCGCGGGAGATTTTAAAAACCAAAGTAGGGTCAGCTTTTGACCAAATTTGTTGCTGATGTTTACTTTACGGTAAACTGGAGGTACTTTGATATATCTGTTTAACCAGGTCGCTACACTGTAGCTGCTGTCGTCTACTGCAAGGTTTGTTTCACTTGACATATGAACGTTTTGCAACGCTCGTTTTGGGGAAAGCAATGAAAAGCAAATGAATGCAACGTATGGTGTATTTCAATAAGGTAAGCTCATAAGCTCATTGTGTATGTTATGGTTATAAACTAGTGGAAATCCGTTACTTAATTGGTGAGACTACAAAACAAAGTTATTAGAATAATCAACAATGTGCCACTTCGTGATCATATTACTCCCCATTATGTAAACCTTGGTCTTATTAAGCTTCCTGACATTGTTAAACTATATACNAAATCATGTGCACAATGATCTGTTACAAAAACGTCACCTATAAAACTCAATCACCTTGATCAGACCGTGATCTTTGCCGTCATTCAAGTTTTTCCATGTACACTCTTTCCAGTTCTTATAAGACATCACACCAAGAGTCCCAGGGATTCCACTTGTTCCACTCTCTCCGCGCTGCCCCTTTTGGCCGGGAGGGCCTTGGACTCCAGGTTCTCCTTTGGCGCCATTCTTTCCATTGATACCAAGAGTTCCTGGAGGTCCCCGGGGTCCAGTCTTTCCCGGGCTACCCTGGTCACCTTTGACTCCTTCACGGCCATCACGACCATCACGACCTGGTGCCCCAGGAGACCCAGGCTTGCCGTGCATACCAGGGATACCACCATAACAGAAAGGAGGTTGCTGGATTAGAATGAGAAAGAGGTTATGAGTTATTCAGAATTCAGAATTATAAATTTTCACGCTGTTTTTATCACTCACTCGTATAGAGAGTTTTTGTAGTTTGAATTAGTTACAGTGAGGCAATCCTTAGGGAGCAGTACTTTACTATATCAATAAATATCACCTTAGCCATGTTCGTGCGACTAAAAAGAATTAAAATTTAACCGTATCATGGATGTGCCAATTCAAGAAATCTTACAAAATCTGTTGTTGGAGATTTCAGTTATCTTTTACTAGTCACAAAATACTTTGTTCCACTCATGGAGGCTTAAATTTTACTGAGACTTTTTCTTGCTTCTAAAGTTTATACTTCCTAATTTTTCTTCCTACTAGAACCAGGTCCCTGCATTTCCCCTTGCTTTGGTTGCAATATTTCATAAATTTTAATGCGAGGAAGGAAAATACTGTAGTCTATCATCAAGGAAAGCCCAGATTGTTTGCGCGGCTCTACTAGTTTCAGGTCAATCAAAGCTATAAATAGGACAACGTGGACGCATCTGTAATTTCCAAAGTTGAATCAATATTTGCAAAGAAATGTCGTTTTACTCTTACCAGGAATCAACATAACACATAACGCAATAACTCACCATTTTGTACGACGGTTGATTGGTTTTGTTATTTGCTGCGGTAGAGTACATCAGCAAAAACATCACAGACAGGGACAACAAGGACATCACAGAGACTTTATGTAAAATGAAGGCCATTATTTTCTTAGTTCTTCACGATCGCGCTACGGAAAAACGTTTACAAAGATTAGATCAGTGCACATTTAAGTGGGGCTAGCAGTTAAAGGCAAATTCTACGAAAGAGACGTTATTCTCCGTCTTAAAAAGTTATAGCGGAATTTTCCGAAGTGAAAACGCTTTCTTTCTTTTCACAACTTTAAATTGAAACTTTGGTCAAGTGATGCTTTTTTAGTTTAGTAACGGGGACATTCAAACTCTCTGAAAGCTGTACTTCAAGTCGACTACTAGCTTCTACTAAAATCGGATTTGTGTTTCTGATATCAGTAGAAATACTGCGAAAATTAATTAAATATCATATCTCTCAATCAGGACAAATTTCTTCTCTCTGTCGAATTTTGAAATGATAGTGCTAGTTTTGAAAAGAAACAATACGCATTTTTTCTCATGCAGGTGCTTTTTGTACTTGGGCAAAATAATAACGCGGGTGAATGTTTCCCATTTTTTTTTTAGCAAATTCACAATATTGGTTTTAAATTTGAGAAATCCCGGCCAAGTGGAGAAATGTATAAAGCCATCTAAACTATAGAGAAGGTATTCTACTCGCGACCTGTTTCTATTTGAATTTTAGAGTGGCATCGAATAATTTTTCTGGATTTTAGAGTTTTGACAAAACTTCCCTAATTTGCCAAGAGCCTTGAAATATTTTGGTGGCATTACAATATTGAGAAACTATTTAATTTAGTCGGCGGGAGAAGGAAAATTACAGGAAAGTACCATACCTCTAAGCTCGAAGGATTGCGTTGCTGTCCAAGTGCCTGTTGAACAACTCACTGTAAAGGAATGATAAGTAAGTTGCGTGTGCAATTGAGTTTTTAACCTTTGTGTTGACTTTGGTTCGTGTTCGGACCAGTTTACTGTTGACCATGACTCGAGCTGTTTCAATAGTAAATTACATCACGGATAATGTTGATGACAGTTGTTTTGTTTTTATTCAATAAGAAAAAGTACCATTTTAATTTTCTGTTACGTTGTATTAAACAAATATCACGTTTTTTCTCAGAGTTAAGATTTTGCGGAGTTTTATTGGAATGAACCTTGCAGTGTTTTCTAAAACAGTGAGAGCGATATGACAACTTTTTACCCTTGGCGATTCGTCCAACAAGAATCTTGTCCTTGAAGATTGAAAAAAAAGAGCAATAATCAGTTTTGTTTTTGTCAAGGATTTGAGTTAAGACCTCTTTGGGGTCCCTCAAGGTTCCCTCCTAGGTCCTAGACTTTTTGCAATTTATGCAAATGATTTACCCAACTCGTCCGCAACCGGATTTATTCATATATTTGCCGACGACACCACCGTGTATTACATTGGGAGGGAGGTTGAAGAAATAGTGGATGCGTTAAACCGAATATTAATTGATTTTAAAAGCTGGTGCGACCAAAATCGCTTGACTGTTCACACTGGCAAGACGGAAGCAATGTTAATCTGCAAACACGCATTTGTCGGCCCTATGAGACCACTGA